TACAGGATGTTTGGTCTATTGTGAATGGTAAGCTTAATGTCCCAACTATGAATCTAACATGGGAGGTATTTTATAATTGCTGGTCTGATTGGAGGGGAATCAATCTTCAAGACATCCCCAACATTGTGGCTTGGTTTGTTTGGATGGCTAGAAACCAGTTGAAGCAAGATAATTCCCATTTAGAATCTATGAAGGTAGGTCTAAATTGTATTGCTTTTATACAAAAATTGATTAAATTTAAAAAGTTTGAAGATGTGTTGGAGCTGAGCCCATCTTTCAATCCTTCCATTACCAAAGTCTTGAAAATTTGCTGGACTCTTCCAAAGCTTGGATGGACAAAAGTTAACACATATGGTAGCTATAAATCTCAGTCTGCTGGAATTGGTGGTGTCTTCAGGAATCATGAGGGGAGGTGCATCTTGTTTTTTCAATCTCCTGTTAAAGCTTTGGATTCCTTTGAAGCAGAATGTCAAGCTGTCTTTTGGGCCATCAACTTAGCCAGATCTTGCCATTTCAACCAGCTATGGGTTGAATCTAACTCCTTGAAGCTTATTAACATTATCAATGGTTCTTATGATACCCCATGGAATTTAATCAGCTGGATTTCTGGAATTCATCAATTGTTTAAGAATTACTCTATCAAGTTCTCCCACATCCACAGAGAAGGGAATAGACCCTCCAATTGGCTGGCTAGAAGGGGTCTCTATATATATCAAACTGAAAGAACAGTAACTCATTTCATATTTTTTTACATGGACATGCACAGATACATATATAGGTACGTCCATTTAATTTTCTTGCCAAATTTTCTAAAGGATTCTCAAACAGAGAGATACATTTCTCATTCCAATTTTTAAGAATAAAATCTGAGAAGCAAGTATATAATTCAATAACTTCGTAAAAAGGAACTTTGGTATTGTTGTCAAGCAAGCATCAATAGTTCCAATGTTTTCAGAATGAGTTAAAATAAAGAAATTGAAGCACAATAAAAATAATTCTCTCTAATTTATACGTGAGAGTATACTAAATTGAAGCCTTCATTAGACAAAATTTTGAGTATACTAAATTGAATATTTATAAAAAAAATTAGAGTAAACTAAAATGATGCATTTATTCCACAAAACTCTATGAATAAATAACAGTCTAACACCATTACTCATTCACATCATCATTTTACATATAATGAATGTTCAAGCACAAAGTGGATTGATCTCATTATTTTATATATGCACAAATTCTTTAGGAAATAATATGTGCAACAAGTTTTGGGTAACAAAAAAAATTTCAATTTGTGTGAACAAGTGCTAAGCAAATCAATAAAATTGTATGAGGTTCCACTCAGCAAGTTCATAAACAACTTCACAATCAAAGCCAACTGATATTATTATTTCTTATATGCACAAATTCGTT